CAAAAATATTAAAAGTAAGAAAACATACAACTTCAACAACTTAAATAAAATTTCCAACATTATCCCACAGTTGAGAGAGGGTCTTCAGGCTGTCAGTTGAGAGTTCAATAAATCCGATTACCAATCCAAACCACGTCTATAGTCACTCGATCACGTGATATTTTTGTTAACAACAACGGGTGTATCGACATGGTGAACAACCCCGACATCACCCAGTGGAGTGCTACGACATTCTTGCAGCAATATTTAATAAGTATAGGATTTATACTAAATTATTCTGGGGAAATAGCAATAGCTTCATCAGCTGCATGAAATATCGCAAAATGATTGTAGTAGAACGTGGCTTGCTGTAACCAATTCTACAGACTGTGCATAGAGTATTTCTGGCATCTTTTGCCATTTTGGGCGTGTGGCAATTTACGAAACTCTGGTTATGTGGCTCGGATTTGGGCGCGGCATTTTATGGAACCCGAAGGCTCATTACCGTGTTCACAAGAGCCCTCCACTGGTCCCTATCCTGAGCCAGATTATCCAATCCATAACATCCCATCCTATCTCTCTAAGATCCATTCTAATATTGTCCACCCACCTACGCCTTAGTCTTCCCTGATGTCTCTTTCCTTCTGGCTTTCCCACCAATATCCTATACTCATTACTCGTCTCCTCCATTCGTTCTACATGACCTGCCCACCTCATCCTCCTTGACTTGATCATTCTGCTTATACTCGGAGAAGAGTACAAGTTATGAAGCTCCTCGTTATGCAGTTTTCTCCAACCTTCTGTCACTTCATACGAAAACCATTCGTATCCAAGATAGCAGTTTATCATTAGCGTGGACATTAGACGACAAAGTTATGAGGAATCCATTTTACTTTTAGAAATGAGAAGATTATTAATGAACTCCTATGATAAGACGTGTCACAGGGCTCCCTGTACCGTAGCATTAATTGTACAGGTCTATCTCTGGTCATCTAAAGTTTACAGAATTATCGGATCGGGAGACATCGCCCATTGCTGTTACCCCATCTCTCGAGCACTAACATTAAGCCTAGCTGTAGTCACTGCACTGCCTAGCAACCATGAGAAAACCTTAAAACGTTCCAGAAAAGGCCAATAGCTACGGACACAGGCTCCTTTGCAGAAGTTGATATTAATAGCAAAGCAGCTCTTCACCACGATACATATAAATTCTTGGCAAGATTCCGAAAAGTCCCGCCGGTGTACAGGGTGCGAATAGTCATAACTACTAAGTAATTCCATGTAGCCGAGCTCTTCTTGAGAAGCCGCCAGTTGTGCAGCTACTCAAGAATTTCCAAACATTTTATGGAACCGGAGGTTCATTACCGTGTTCACAATAAACCTCCACTGGTCCCTATCCCGAGCCAGATAAATCCAGTTTATAAAACCCCATTCTATCTCTCTAATATTCTTTTTAATATTATGTGCCCACCTACTTCTTGATATTCCAAGAACTCTCTTTGTTTCTGATTTTCCCACTAAAATCATATATGAATTCCCCTTCTTTCCCCTTTCATGTTACATGCTCTGTCCACCTTATCCTCCTTCCCTTGATCATTCTAGTTATACTTGACGAAAAGTACAAGTAATGAAGCTCCTCATTATGTAGTTTTCTCCAGCCTTCTGTTACCTCATCCCTCTTCTGGGCACATATTCTCCTCGGCATCCTGTTCTCAAACATCCTCAGTCAGTAAATAGGTCATAAATGGATATAAAGCGTAAACATGTGATGTTCGAACATGGAAGGAAACGTTTCTCGACACATCCTCCGCCAACATGGGTACACTTGTCCCATTGCTTTACCGGTGCGTCGAAACCCGCAGAAGAGAAGTCTTTTGACTGCCGTCTCAGACACTTCCGCACATCCGTTTCAATCTCATGATCAGCGAAACTTATGCCAAGGTGTTCTTTTAGCGGGCCAAACAGATGGATGTCACTGATGCAGTCTAGTGCATCTTTATTTGGTTTCGAAGTAACACCCGACACAGTGGCCGTGCCATAGCTGAAGCGGTTAGTCGCTAGCTTCCCACTTTGGCGGCTCGGGTTCGATCCCGGGTCTCGTCAAGTGGGATATGTGGTGGACAAAGTGGCGCTGGGACAGTTTTTCTCCGAGTACTTCGGTTTCCCCTGCCAATCTTCATTCCACCAGTTGCTCTACAATCACCCTCAATTATCACCTGGGGCTGGTACAACAGGC